GTGGTAGTGGTAGTGGTAGTGGTAGTGGTAGTAGCAGTAGTAGTCGTCGTCGTCGTCGTCGTCGTGGTGGTGGTGGTGGTGGTAGTAGTAGCAGCAGCAGTAAGAGCAGAAGCAGAAGGAGTGCAAGTAGTGGTGATGGCACTGTGGCGCCCATTGAAAACAGGGGATGATCATGGATCATGATGATGATGATGCTGATGATGGTGATGATGGTGATGGTGATGATGATGATGATGATGATGATGCTGATGATGATGGCTGATGCGGTCAAGTTCTTGCAACACTTGCTGACTTGTGTTGCTTGCTCAGAAACTGCAAGCGTAGGTACTGTTGAGCTTCTATACTAATTAATGTGGTACTTGCATAGGTCCAGAGCACACAATGCATTGTGCAACACCAATTTCGCCTTTCGCCTTGCATGGCAGCCCCGAGATCATCTGCCACAGAAAATTGGCTGTGCAAACTGCGCATCTGCACAGCACGGCGAAAATTGACTCTACTGTCAAAGACCACCTCTTTCCGATATCTCTTTCTCTCGGATCTTGTCTCCAAGAGATGAAAAGGTTGGGCATGACCCATATGCCGAGAAGGTGAATATGTGTCCATCTTGATACAAAGATAAGGCTTCAACCAAGACCCCCCATGCAATAAGAGTGCCAGTGCGGCACATGTGCTTAAAGCTTCATGCGACAAGCGCAACCGCGCTCATCCTTGAATTCCCACGTACAGCAGGCCAAGCGCGAAAATCACCGCAGAGACAACTCGGTAGTCCCAACCTTGATAGAGAACAGAAAGCCGGTTTTGGGGCTCTGGCCCCTCGAGAACCGTCGACCCAAGCAAAGGAAGGCTCTGGCCAAAGTCCACGCGGCCACTGGGAGCTTCTTTCGGCACCTCGTGTGGCCCCCCCCTTTCAACGAGAACCGCGAATCATTCCCATAATGCTGACGTTCTTGCTGCTGTTGCTATGACTAGCTGACTAGCTGTTTTGTTGGCCTTCCAGTCTTGTATATGCCTCTCAGCCCTGACTACGACGACGAGGAGGCTGGTGATGGAGATGCTCGGGGTGATGCTGAACGCGGGGTGCCGCAGATGCCGCATGCATCTTCACTTCTTCTTCTGGGGCCCGGGCCCCCCCGGTGGCCTCCATCAGCCAGTCCGGCAGCTCGCCCCCTGGCTGTGCCGAGCCGAGCTGAGCAGGACCCCCCCACTTTTGCTCCAGGCCGCACCTTCAACGCCTTCCACTGGCTCCCGCGGGCCCTTGGCTTGGAGCTCTGACCAGACGACTTGCATCATGCGTCCGGCGACTGACATCCGGCTGCAGCAGAGGCACGCCCCGCTCCGGTATCTCAGAGGCAGATCGGGCAATCGAAGGCCTGCACTACATGTGAAAGACATGCCACGAGGTGACCCCGCACTCCGCCGCCTGCGCCACGCTGCCGGTCCTCCGAGGAAGCTTGGCCAAGACGAGACCTAACCAACACGGGTCTTTTTTCCGAAACCACAAGTCCAGGTGCTGGGAACATCTGGGAACCCAGCGCAAACCACGGTCAGGAGGAAGAAGCCCACCTGGAGATGGTTGTGATATTCTGCAGTCGGCTTGTGTGTGAGACGCATGTGCTCAACCATGACATGACACAAGCGCATGGACGTTGAGCCACGGCACGGTTCTGGAGCTCAATTCCAAAATCGATGGACGTTTCAGCAGAGTTTGGGTGCTCTACACTGGAATGCGCAGGAACTGGTCCAGCTGCCCCACTTACCAAACAGACAGGCTCTCAGGCATACACTGCAGCTGCAGCAACAAAGGGACAAAAGCACAACCATCAAACCAACCGCAAGCGTTCGATTCAACCCTGTCTGACGGTGGTATCGCAGCAGTCAGACTTTTCAGTCTGGGCGCCAGACTCGGCAACGTCGCTGCGTCATGCTTGGCACGCGCTCGGCAGACAGGCGATTGATTGCTTCGGGATCAGGCCGAGAGGCTTCGTACTGCTTTCGATGATTCATCCGTCTTCGTGCATCATTGTTCTGAGCCAAGAAGCTGGACCAGACCACGCAGCCAGTAGGGCGATCAACCAGCAAGCAGACTCTGCAACTCTCAATGGTGGCATACTAGTTTCTGCCCTCAGGCTCCTCGAGCTCGGCCTTCATGCGCTTTGCTCGTGTACTGAACCCCATTCAAGCCGTAACTGAATATCGGCAGTTGAGAGCTTAGTGTGATCAGGCTCCACAAGAAACACACACACACACACACTGGAGGCAACGGTCCCGAGACTTCGGAGTCTGCGGCACTGTCGAACCCTGGCGGTGTCAGCAAGCACGAAGACTTCTACCAATGTCCATGGTTGAGCCATGTCCTTTGATGATCATGGCGACAGGGACCAGCATATGTTACAGTGCTCTGACTGCGCTTTTGACTGCAATCGTCGCCATTGTTGCTCGTGATTACATCAGCATGACCGGTGAAAACCGACATGATTCGTGCTGCTGCTGCTGCTGCTGTTGTTGCTGCTGCTGCCGGTGACGGTCGTGATGGTGGTGATGTGCTGGTGATGGTGATGAGGACGATGATGAGGAGGAGGATGAGGATGAGGATGAGGAGGACGAAGACGAGGACAAGGACGAGGACGATGATGTTGACGATGATGATGACGATGATGATGATGGTGGTGATGATGATGAAGATGATGATGATGATGATGACGATGATGATGATGATGACGGTGATGGTGATGGTGATGGTGAGGGTCACTGTCATGGTCATGGTGATGATGATGAGGATGATGATGATGATGATGACGATGACGATGACGATGACGATGGTGACGACGAAGATGGTCGCGATGATGCTGGTAGTTCTGATGATGAAGAAGATGATGATGATGGTGGTGGCGACGACGATGGGGATGATGACGGCGACGATGACGATGATGATCATCATGCTGCTGGTGATGACCGTGATCAGCATGTCGACTATTTTCGATTGGTGCCCGATCGATCACGTGCGTCCATGCTCCAGCAAGTGCTTCCGAAAGAACCTCCGAGAGCAAGCTGGCCTCCGTCCCTTGCAACAGCATCGCTGCCGATGCCAGGGCCAGAGGCCCGGAGTGCTCCATTTGCACCTTCGAGTTTAGGGTGCCAGGGCTCTTCCAAAGCATCGCCCCCACACCTCAACTGCGAGCCACTACAGGAAGTATCCGCAAATCGATGGTTTTTCCAATTTTCGGTACGAAAAAAAGCCAACTCAGACATGCGAATACAGAAACCCCATGCCTTGTCAAGATGAGCCGAGACGACCTGCAATCGACAGGTGTGCTCAAATGGCTTTGTGCAAATCAATGCGCCCCAACTCGAATCAGGACCTACTTACATGCTTGGTCATTTCCCGAACCCCGTAAACATCAAAAATGAATCCAAAGCCGTCCCAAACCCTAGAAGCACTCCCTGGCCCCCCCGTCCCTTGTCTCCAGGCGCTCTGACAGTGCGGTGTCGAGACTCTCGCGACTCAGACGCTCGGAGGCAACCTTTCGGGCTTTCCGCTTCTCTCAAAGGAATGCCTCCTTGGCACAGGCAAGTCCATCTTGGTGAGAACTGAAAATCGGTGAGGGGCTAGAAAGTACCAGTTTTGTTAAAACCAAATTTGGGCACATCAGCAATCCTCAATCCTGAGCGGCTTAAGCCCCAGTTCTTTAACTCTGACCACACCCACAACACTGACGTGAGACGAAGAGGTCACACCTAGCATCTCGAACGCTGATGCTCTCCTTAGCTATCTGCAATGATCCCCGGTTTAGAATGACTGCGGCTGTTCGCGCCGAACATCGATCTGACATGGACGATTCTGCTTGTTTTGTTTGTCAGCCGCAGACACCCAACCCCACCCCCTCGAACTCCTCAACAGCAGGGACCTCGAGAGAAGGGCCCTCCACAAACCCCGTAAATCCAAACAGCAACCGCGCATGCTAGGGCTGCCTCGTTTTGGAGCCTGTCGAGACGTCGTTCCATCGCGGAGAGATGATCGGCGACGGCCTGAGTTCTCGGGCTGGCAACCATGACTTGCTAGTGTTGGAGTTTCAGTGTTGTTTTGGGTGAAGGGCGTTCGGAGCTGTGGAGAGTTGCTAATGGCAAATGGGGTACCATTGCTGATGGGAATGGTCATGATAACGACACTCGTGGTTATGCTTCATGTTCTTGCTCATTTGTTGTCACGCTTCAAACTGCAGAAGCCGCTCACGAAGACTGAGCGCAGGACCAGCTCAATCCTCGGACACTGCGGCTTCTGCAACAGACCGAAGGATATCGAAGTCTCAAGGTGACCATTCCGGCATATCACCGGGCGTCTATGGTACTCACGACCCTCTCGTTTTACAGCAGAACTCATCTCCGTAGCAAAACAAGAAGGGTACAAAGAAGGAGAATAGCAACAACAACGATGATGGCAGTCGCCGCTGTCGTCTTCGTCGTGGTGGTGGTCGTGCTGCATTTCACGCTGGAACGAACAGCGGCGGCAGGAGACGTAGTAGTCGTCGTAGCAGCAGTACAAGTAGCAGTAGCAGAAGCAGTAGCATAGCGGTAACGGTAGCAGTAGCAGCAGCGGGAGCAGGAGCAGGAGCAGGAGTCGTCGTCGTTGTTGTGGTTGTTGTAGAAGGAGTAGGAGGAGGAGGAGGTGGAGTAGTAGAAGTGGTGTTGGTGGTGGTGGTGAGGGTGGCGGTGGGGGTGGCGGTGGCGGTGGTGGCGGCGGTGGCGGCGGTGGTGGTGGTGGTAGCGGTGGCGGTGGTTAGAAGTGGTCGTAGTAGTAGTTGATGTTGTAGCAGCACTAGGGGTCACAACATTAGTAGGAAGTGAAGCAACAACAGCAGCGCTTGTGGATGTGGTGATAGTGGTGGTAAATGCTTGCCATAATCAGGACAATTATCGCAAAAAACTGCGCTAACAAAAAGAGCCGTAGTCACAATGACCATAGTCTTTGACAATGATGGCAGCAGCAACCATCCCTGAGCCTCTGGCATCCTCCTCATCTCGTCGGGAGCCCCGAAAGAGCCTGACAAAATCACACGGCGACCTGTCAAGACGGTGATCCCTGGTAACAGTCTCACCTTATCCTATACTGATACTGTAGTATTACAAAGAGCAGCAGCAGCAGCAGCAGCAGCAGCAGCAGCAACGACAACGACAATAACAACAACACCACCACCACCACCACCACAACAACAACAACAAGAAGAAGAAGAAGAAGGAAGAGGGCGCGTGTGCCCGCGAAGGGTGTGTCGTTGTTATTTTGATTATTTTTAGCCAAAAACCTGCAGACCTCGGTTTTTCTGTGGTATGAATGTGACATTTTTTGCTGTGTTGATTGGCTTGTTGTTCTTGTTTTTTGAGGCCGTTTTTGCGGATTTGTCGCAAAACCCTGGTTTTCTTTGTTGTCGTTTGTTGATTTGTGGGTTGTTGTTTACAGTTTTGTTCTGTGTCTGTGCAAAAACGTCGTGAAAGCCGTGTGTTTGATTGTTGCGGTTCCGTGTCACATATAACAGAGCAACAGCAGCAGGATGCAGCAACCTTCTCATTTTGGCTGGTATCATCATAGTTATTATCATCGTCATCTCCTCATCATAATCATCAACAACAACAACATGAACATCATCATTGCTCTCGGCAAGATCATCATCAACATCATCAGTTTCCTGACCGACATCTGTCTCATCATAATCATCCTAAGGAGCAGCATGAAGCAGTGCATGAGCATCATCATCACCATGAGCTTGTTTGCCTACTTTGATCCCGAGAGAGACAGAGTGCAGAGCACGAGGTACTGTTTGCACTGCTCGGAGCGACGTGACATGGAGACAATCATTGCCATGGACGTCAACATCCCCCCCCCACCCTCCCTCCCCACCCGCCCCACGAAAGCGGAATATAAGTATAAGCAGAAAAACATAAGGAATATAAGTATAAGTAGAAAAACATAAGCGAATATCACAAGCCGACATCGGCAAGGACGCTGACATCCCCCCCCATCCCCCCCTCCCCACCCTCTCAGGAAACCAAAAAGAGAAAGATAAACGAGAAGGCAGAGGAAAGCCACAGACGAAACCAGCCGGGTTGCAAGCCAAAAACGGAAACGGAGAAGGCACGGAACACCGTAAATTTCGATTGAAAAGACATGCAAATGAGAAAACACCTCGGGTTTTTGTTTTTCTAGGAAAGCACTGTACAAACCGATGCGAATGCCGAATCGCGGATGTTTTGTCCAAACTGCAACGTGCCAAACTCGAGTGCCGGCACATTGCAGCCCCGAAATCGATGCTCCCTTCGCGACTGCATAGGCGCGACCGGCCAACAACAACAACAAGACCACCATCTGCTGCTGCTACCGCTACGACGACTACTACGACTACTACTACGACTACTACTACGACTACTACTACTCCTCCTCCTCCTCCTCCTGCTGCTGCTGCCGCTGCGGCTATATACTGCTACTGCTACTGCTACTGCTGCTGCTGCTGCTGCTACTGCTACTGCTATTCCTGCTGCTTATGCTACTGCTACGACGACTACTACTACGACTACTACTACGACTACTACTACTACGACTACTACTACTACTAGCCACCCCC